GATGTTGGGTGTGTGGTCCTGTGTTTTGTTGGTGTATATTTAATATACTTTTAATACTTTTTTAATATACTTTATACTTCGCTATTTCAATCTTTCTGTCTTTCTAATCACTTCTCTCTGTTTTTCTCTCTGTCTCTATTTTCTCTTCACTTAAAAAAAGTCACTGATGAAGAAATAAATAAACTAAATAAACTAATATTTAGTTTCGTTTTCTACTGAAGTGACAAAAAAAGCCCGAGTAAATTAGTTGTAGGCACAACCAATGATACATTTTTGAGAGTTCAATAAAAATTTCTTTGCCAGTTTATGAAATGTTTTGTCAATAAGTAGAAAAGAAGATTATTGACGCAACAACCAGCTAGTTTTTAGCTTTTCTCAAAGACAGGAACTAGCAAATTAGCTAGTAAGCCTGTGGTCAGCTCACCCAACTACTAATCAAAAGCTAGCTAATTTTTTAACATAAAATGTGAGAAAATATACCATGACACTCAAACAAACTCATCTTTTGTTAGTTTTTTATAATCTTGCTATTTGTGCCAAAACATGGTGGCTAAATATGCTAACAGGTGCTAACTAGTCTATAACATTGTCAAAGCTAACTGTGCTAGCTTTGCTTTTCACACTCATTTTAACACAAAGAAAATAAAGATTTGTACAGTTTTCAACATACTGAGTAGAAGAAATGTAATGTTTACAAAATACATTTCAGGTAGCACAGTGCTCTTTTTGTTGTGATGCTAAGAATGGAAAATCTCTTATCTCGACACGTTTTTTTTATCACATTTCTGTCTTTGACAGTTTTTTGGCCGCTGTAAATAATCAGAGCCACCATTTAAACGCTCATGTGAACCATACTTTCCTTTTTTTACCATGAATTCTGGCGATCTTATCATTTAGTCCCAAAATAAGGGCCAAATCGCCCTCACCTGGGCCTTTCCAGATACGGAGATGTTACGCTTGCTTTTAAAAGAACAACAAGCTCCGTCAACAGAAATGTTGTTTGTGTTGAAATGCTTCAGTGAGGAAGATAAGAATCCAGTTTGTGTGTGGCTTTTTTAACACCTTATCAAAACTTTTAAAAGATGAGGAGAAACTTTAGCTTGGTAAAAAAAGATATTTAGTTGCTTTTTAAATCTTATTTGTTTTTGCTTACAAACAGAAAAGTGTTAAAAACTCAATTTAATAATTTTACATGACTAAAACAATAAATATGTGTTTGGTTTTTGTGTCATTGCAACACTGGTAACCCTAACCCTAAAGAATAGCCTCAAAACTCATGAATTTCCCATCAGGCTGAATCATGAAGGATAAAACACGTTCTAGTTAGGGTTAGGTTAGTGAAGTTAAAGTACAGCCTGACCTCTGATGACCTTATTTACCCGTCTTCCCTGACAGCTTCGTATTTACACTGAAAACATCATGGTAGGAAACATAAGAGAAGGAAGGAACTTTGTAAAAAACAGCTCTTCCATCAGGTAAGACATCTAATCTATCTTGGTCGTATTGACCAGTTTCTTTATAACAGAACTGGGATGTGAGTTCACCAGTTTGGCTCTGAGCCATCCTCTGTGGAAACTTTCTTTCTTCAGATTATGGCACGCTGTGGAAGAGCAGAGCTAAAGAATAACCACAGTCAGTGTTTCATTTTAAGAAGGGAGGTTTGGTTATGGAGGTCACAAAATTGTTGCGTTTCAGTCAGGCAGGTTTATGTGATCATTAACTAAAAGTTTAAATGTTTAATCACAAAGGTGTTAATAATCTCCAGCAGATTTATTCACTCTGGAAAGTTAAACATGTAGTTTTGTTCAACGTGAGTGTTTTTTTAATCTTATAATAATGCAATATTTAAGTTGTTGTTGTTGTAATATATTGTTAAGGATGGACAGATCATGTCCCGACATGTGATCCTGGTTCAGCCGGAGAACAAGGCTGAGGAGTGGGGTGAGTGGAGCACCGGCCTGTGTGAGTGCTACAAGGACATCGGAGACTGTAAGTATACCATAAAAAGAAAAAATAAACTGTTTTAAATGGTGGAAAATGTAGTGTTATTTCTTACTGTCAGTTGAGATCAGTATGTGTGTGTGTGGGGGGGTCGGGGGTTGTTTCTGGTGACATTTGGGGGCAATTTTAAGACAAAATCCTACATTTGGGGACAACTGGT